CCATGAGGGGGGGGAAGTAAGTATCAAAAGAGAAAAAAATACTTAAAATTTGTAGTTAAAAATCAGATTGAAGGCTGGCGCCGCGGATCACTAGGCTAATCCTCCGCCTGTGGTGCTGACACTCTGGGTTCTAGTCCCAGTTGGGGTGCCAGTTCTGTCCTTGTTGCTCCTCTTCCAGGCCAGCTCTCTGCTGTGGCCAGGGAGTGCAGTGGAGGATGGCCCAAGTGCTTGAGCCCTGCACCAGCATGGGAGACCAGCAGGAAGCAACTGGCTCTTGGCTTCGGATCAGCGCAGCACACAAGCTATGGCAGCCATTTGGGGGGTGAACCAACGGAAGGAAGACCTTTCTCTCTGTCTCTCTCTCTCTCTCACTGTCTAACTCTGCCTGTCCAAAAAAAAAATCAGATTGAATGCAGCCAACATAGAAATTTCCAAGAATAGCAAGTAGAAGATTAAAATGAAGGGATTTGAAAATTAAAGCCATTCATTTAAAATATGAAAAACACAACATCTATTAATAGGAGACTTAGAAACATCAATTTTGTGAATTGTTATATTTAAGAAATATGGAATCTAATAAAGACAAATGCCTTTATATGAAGTGAAATCTGATGTGATTATGTTTGTAGATTTAAAGATTCAGTAAGGATGGAATATTTGAATGCTGTCAAATTGTAGGTCACACTTCTTAGTAACAATGGAATACCAATACAGAATGAAATGTCCATCAACATAGACCACATGGTAAATCATGAATAATGTATGAAGTCTTAATGAATGGATAGAAGAATTAAACTGGAACAAAATAACAGGAGACTATTTTGTAAATCAACAAATTAGAAATTATAGTAAATTAGAAAAAAAGTAGACTGTATTTTGAAGTCAGTGAAAATGAATACGTAATACATTAATGTGATGGTAAACCAAAGTGATTTTTCAGGAAAATTAAACCATAAAATTATTCCATTATAAAATAAGTAAAATATATAATCATATAACAATTCAGAATATTATGAAATATAGAGGAATTATTTATGACCTGGTTTGGGCAAAAAGTCTCAGAGTACAAAACTATCAAAACCTTATAAGTAGGATTCATAAAAATTCAAAAAAATTTCTCTTCAACAGCCATAAATAAGAAAAGGACAACACAAAACACATGAGACAAAACATGACAACATACACACCTGAACATAGATTTGTGTCCAGATGACATGAGGAACTTTTACAAAGCAGTAAGCCAAAAATCACATCTATAAAATGACAAAATATTTGAACAGATACTTCATTAAATAAGCTATATAAAATTCAAAGAAACACATGAAAAGATGTTCAAAATGCTAGTTATAGAAATGGAAACTTCATACACAATGAGGTATCACTAACACCCATGATAGTGGCTAAAATTAAAAATAGACTAGCAATTTTAAGTATTGGTTAGTGTTGAGTGAATTTGTCAATATTTCCTTGAAACTTTGTTAGTTGATTGAAAATAACAATAATAATTTTTGCCTACCAATAATTTTTTAAACTGTGAAGTAATTTCTTTACGTTCAGGATGTATTCTTGTTATGTTTTTTGTGTGTGTTTGTAAAATGCCCATTGAAATGTAACCTCTACCTTGTTCTTTGGACTTTTATGTTTTCTTGATAACATACATTAAACAGAAATGATCTGTTCAGTCACTGGATATAAAAAAAAACAGGCCAGCGCCGCGGCTCACTAGGCTAATCCTCCACCTTGCGGCGCTGGCACACCGGGTTCTAGTCCCAGTCGGGGCACCGGATTCTGTCCCAGTTGCCCCTCTTCCAGGCCAACTCTCTGCTGTGGCCAGGGAGTGCAGTGGAGGATGGCCCAAGTGCTTGGGCCCTGCACCCCATGGGAGACCAGGAGAAGTACCTGGCTCCTGCCATCGGATCAGCGCGGTGCCATTGGAGGGTGAACCAACGGCAAAGGAAGACCTTTCTCTCTGTCTCTCTCTCTCTCTCACTGTCCACTCTACCTGTAAAAAAAAAGAAAAAAATTAGTTTGTAAAATCAGAAATAGTTAGAGTGAGCCAGGATTATGGCTATCTGTCTGGAATATGGAAGAGCTCTCTCTGTCTATTCTGGATAGTTAACACTGTGTGAGAATCTTTAATTGTAGTGAAGCTGCTACAGACCACTTGTGTTTCAAGGGAACTCATAAGAAACAGTAAATGATTTTGTCTTTTTTAAATAAAACATTGAAATATCACTCTCAGATGTTAAATTCTTGCCTACTTCTTATTCTCCTGCTATTTCAAGGACTGCAACCTCATTGAGTAAGATCTGATTATCTGTGAGAAGAAGAAACAAATATTTCTTATCTCTTTGCTAAAAATGTTATTGATCGAGGATTACCTATGCACTTGATCTATGAAAAATAACAGACCCAAGGTCACGGAGATGGTTCCTGATACCCAGAACGATGTCTCAAGACCTGTGTGTTGTAGTCATCTAATTTTATATATGGTCGATGCTATTTCTTTAATTTTAATCACTGGCAAGAAATCTAACAAATTTGAGATGTAAATTACTTTCTACAACTTTAGAGAATGTTACCAGTTTTCTACAAAGAAAAGATAGTTAGGCATTTAAAAACTGTCTTTATGTATTTTCATTACAAATTTCCAGTTCCAAAACCAACTTATTCTTTCACTGTGAAATAGTAAATAAACAAATGTTATTTCCCCCTCAAATATGCATTTTTGCATTTTTTATAGTAACAATAGTATAAGCTATTTTGATTGAAATATTTTGCAAATGGTTCTTCTCATTACTGTATGGCGTTCTTTAGTTCAGTGTCTTCTAAAGCAAAACTGCACTCTGTCAGAGACTTGCTCAGAGGTGGACTTGTGGTCTTGCAGTTAAGACACCAGTGAGGATTCCTGGGTCTGACTTTGGAGTGCTTGGGTCCAAGTCCTGGCTCTGGCTGCTGATTGAATCTTCCACTAATGGAAATCCTGGAGGGAACAGGGGTGGCTCAAGTTGTGGCTTCCTGCCACACATGCAGCAGACCTGGACTGAGTTCCCCACGCCAGGCCTTGGCCCCAGCCCTGCCCAATCTTGCCATTATAGGCATCCAGGTGGTGGTTCTGTTTGTCTCTCAACTAAAAACACTACTACCACCACCACCGAGTGTCTTTCTGTTCTAATAAAAAGAAAATAACAAAAATGTTGACCTGAGAAAGGAAAATACTTCCTCTTTTAGCCCATTCTGTGGGTAAACAACTCCTTTGTAATTTAATGAATTAAATTCATATTGATTTTAAGTTACTCATTGTGGGCGCTGACATGTCTGACAGTAGTGCTGCATACTGGAAAGATGATGAATTAGGTGGGAAAGGCTGTGACCTCATGAATCTCATGACTGGAATCGACCCTGCACTGTAATCACAGCAGTGGAGCTGAACTGTGTGTACAGACACTTCCAATTCAGAGCCCTGGGGATCATCTTGTCATGCGATTAATGAGAATTCAAAGTCTCCTTGAGAAGTTAATGGCATTAAGTCACCAAACAAATGACTTACTGTAGGAGTTCATCTTGCTGCGTTTATGAGATCTGTACAAATGCTTCCAAAACTAAAGATATAAATTACTAATTACTGTAAAATTTTAGGGAGTAAAAAATAATGCATCCAAGCCATTGACATATGTTAATAGCTGTTTTACTTTTCCCTTTTATCATTACTTTAAGCTTAAAAAAGGAGAGGCGACAAACTTGTATCCTAATGACTGCTTTATTTCATGCAAAAGAAAAAGCATTAGATGTTATAATGTTTCTCCTTTAGAAGAAATGTGCAAAACCATCTAATACTTAGAATCTGTGTGGTAAATACCATACTTTTCATAAGAACATCATGAATTCAGGTTTATAAAACACTTTACTAGTTACATTTTTAATACGCATGTATGAGAGGATTCAAGAAATTTCAGAGGGAGACGTTTAGCCTAACAGAATGCCTTGTTGCATACTGGGGTGACTGGGATCAAGTCCCAGTGCTGATGACTCAAGCTTTCACCCAGGCAGCTCCTGGGAGGCAGCAGGTGGAGGATTAGCCAGCTACGCCGCAGTGCCAGCCGGGCCTCTAACTTGGGGATTCTTTCTTCTGCCTCACCAAGTGTGTTGTTAAGGCTTTCTACTTTATTTTTATTTGACATATTGAATTCTTCATTTCTATTTAAATTTGATGTCTCTTCAAAATCTCAATCTCATGGGAAAATTTTTCTTCTGTGTGATGTATGGATATCTTTAATGAATTTGCTTCTCATTGCTTCTGAGTAATTCTATGATCTTTCTTTTGTATTCCTTTTCAGGCATTTCATCAATCTCTTTGTCTTTTCATTTTACTATTGAAGTGTTGTTGTGTTCCTTTGGGGAAGTCGTCTTGTCTTCCTTTTTTATTTTCTTATATTTCTGCATTTATTTTTGGGCATTTGTGTAAATAATTTTTTCCACTGTTGGGATAACTTTGAACTATGCCTCTGTCTTAGTTGAGTGTCTGCTCCTTCAGTGAATAAATACACAGAGGCATGTACTAGGTGTGGCCAGGGAGCTCTGGTCAGCACTCAAAGGTGAAGTGAGAATCCAGGGTGGCCCCCAAGTTGGGCATGGTAGATCTCTGTTGTCAGCAAGGTAAGGGTATGGTCACGCTTGTTGGCATGATCACAACCTCAATTCCTCTCTTCCTATGTGATCAACATCCAGGGTTAGCCCACAGTGGGTACAACCCCCACCCATGCTGGTGCATAAACCACCCAAAAGACCTGTGATGTCCTCAGTGTCAGCATGGGGCACTGTGCAGTGACCCACCCCAGGCGGTCAGGGAGCTCTGAGCCTCTGACCCCAGGCACAGTGGTTGCTCAGAAAACAACTGACACCCCACACGTGCCCTATTGTGCAGTCACAGGGCTCCCACTGTCACAGGTCACAGGGTGCACAGGATTCCATCTCTATCCTGCAAGCCTGCCCCATTCCTAGAGACTGCAGAGTTCTTTCCAGAACCGTCTGCCTGTGGGAGCTCTTTCTTGGCAGTTTTAATCCAAGAGGCTGTGATAGGTCGAGAGGATTGGGGCACCTTATGATCCTAAGTGGGTACCCAGCCTCCTATCAGCCCTCCCAGCCACACTCAAAGGCCGTGGGGAACGTGAGTTTTTCCTCTTGCTGAAGTCCTCCTGTTGCAGGTGAGAGCCCCCTCAGCTCCTCATGGTGTCAAGATGGTGGTGTCTCCTCCCCTCCTGTTGCTCGGTGCTCTTGTAGAGGGATGGGGAGGAACGTGCTTCACCTCCGCTGCCTTAGTGGGTACCCTGCCCTCGCTGGGGCGCTAGGCCGGACTCAAGACAGTGGGGTCTGCAAGGCTCTCCCTCAGGCAATATAACCCACGGTGCTGGCTGCCGCAGTCTGTGCTCGCCTCGCTCTGAGAGGCTGGGGTCTCTTCCGGCCTCCACCTGTGGGAGTCGTGGATGGTGTCCACGCTTCCTGCTGTGCCTCTTCACTTTCCACGTTGCTGCACTGCTTTCGTCTTCCTTTTGTAGAACGTTCCCTGCAAACTTCTCCTTAACTCCACCCTGGGAATATACTGCCTCCACTTTTTATTTTTCCTGCTGCCTTCGCCTGGTCGGAATTAGCACATCTTTTCTCTATTCAGCCATCTTGGAATCCTCAATGCACATTTTTTTTTTTTTTTTTACATTCTGGGTTTCTGGGTGACTAAACAGGATATAAGCATAAAGAATTTCTGCTATATACCAAAGTAGGGGGCACCAAGAGGAAGGAATTGTATGTTATTTTTTGTTTATTTATTTATGTTTACCTGAAAGGCTGAAATATATAGGAAGGAAAAAAGTGAGTGAGTCAAAGAGAGAGAGAGATTGAGATTGAGATATTTCATCCGCAGGTTCACATCTTTAAATGACCACAAGAGTTGGGGCTTGGCCAAGTCAAAGTCAAAAGTCCAGAACTCAATCTGGGTCTCCCAGGTTGGTGACAAGAACCCACAAACGTGAGCCATCACCTGCTGCCTCTCAGGGAACGGGATGCATCAACAGAAAGCTGCAATGAGGTGGCTTTTGGAACTTGAATCCAGCACTCTAATGTGGGATGTGGGCTTCCCAAGCAGCAAATTAATATCTAAGCCAAACATCTGCCCACTGTGTGATGATTTTTTGGTGGAAGATGAACTAATCATTTGTTCCACGGAGCAATAACACTTCAAGGAACACATGACAGGAAACTGATTTTTAAAAGTTAGATATGTGACAGATAGCTCCGAAATAAACATATGACCCTTCAAGAAGAAATAATCAACAGTATTTCTTGTTAATAATAAAATTTGCATTTCTAAGGCAAAATTTGAATATTGGAAAATTTGCATTTGCCAAAGTAACTTGAAGAATTTTCCAGTGCTTAAGAACTTTTGTAAAGGGCCAGTGCTGTGGCATAGTAGGTTAAGCATTTGCCTGCAGTGCCGGCATCCTATACGGGCAAACGTTTGCAACTCGGCTGCTCCAGTTCTGATCCAGCTCCCTGCTGATGATTTGGGAAAGCAATAGAAGCAGCGCTAGTGCTTGGGCCCCTGCACCACATGGAGACCCAGAAGAAGCTCCTGGCTTTGGAATGACTCGGCTCTGGCCATTGTAGCCATTTGGGGAGTGAACCAGCAGATGGAATACCTCTCTCTCTGTCTCTGCCTGTTTCTCTCTGTAACTCTCTCTCAAGTAAATAAAATATTAAAAAAAAAAAACTTTTTAATACAATTGAAGGTGATATTAGTGTATGTGAACTTTTTCCATGCTACATGAGGATAATTTTCTGACCTTTGGAAAATCTTTACAATTCAATGAATCAGTGAATCTATTTAAAAAAAAAGATTTATTTATTTGAAAGGCAGAGTTAGAGAAAGGGAAGGAGTCAGAGATCGCCCATCCATTGGTTCACTCCTCAGATGGCTGCAGCAGCTGGGGCTTGGCCAGGGTGAAGCCAGGGGCCTGGCATTCCATTTGAGTATCACATGGGTGGTGCCAAGCACTTGGGCCATCTCTCTTGCTTTCCCAGATGCATTAGAAAGTAACTGGACCAGGAGCAGAGTAACCTGGACTCGAAGCTTGTACATATAGGATACTGGCATCGTAGGTAGCAAGTTGACCAGCTGCAGTCTGTGCTGGACCCAATAAACCCTAGACAGAAGAATGCATGGTGAGATCTTGGAAGGGCAAAGTTCGAGATATACCAATAATTTTAGAGCAGTTAGTTATTCAAGGTGTTTTCAGTGCCCACATTATAAATAACTTCTAAGAACTGTTACCTACTGAGTTTTATTTTAGATTTAAAAAATGGCAGTTATCTATAAAAGTTATCAAAGACCCCTTCTTTTTCTAACTACATGAGTGTGGATTCTCTACATATTTCAACCAAAGGTGAATTAGTGAAATGTAGTTGCACATTGAGTCATTTACAAAAATATAAAACATTGCCACTTTTTGGTTGGTGTTATAATAAATGGTAGCTTTCATAAAATATTATTTATGTTAGCATGTAGATTTGTTCTTTTAAAGTGTTTATTAAGTGGGTATTTTCAAACGTCAGTTTTTATATCTAATACTTTAAATGCACAGTAACTTTTGAGAAGATAATAAAATCAAAGCCTAAGACCATAAGTGTGTACAAATCACAGCACTAACCCTTGGGAAGCATCAGTAAGCAAAATAAATAGAAATTTGTGCCTCATGGAGATAATTCTGGAATGGTTCTAACACCAGAAAATTGTTTTATTCTTCTATCTCATACTATTTTGTGATTCTTTTTAGTTCATTTTAAAATGAAGTTGAAGAAAAGGAGAATAATTAGATTGTTATATTCCCTTTACTTAACTTTTATACTTCTTAATTCTTGACATTTTTCATCATACTGAGATTATCTGATTCCCGAACTACTGTGTAAGTTCTCCATGATTATTATCACCATTCTTTTTAATATTATCTTAAAATTGGCAGCTTATTAATTTTATGGCATATTATTTCTTTCTTTGAAAAACACATTTCAAATTTTATGCTTAAACTGAAGAAAATTCAAAATATTATTTTATGGCAATGATGCATATTTAGAGATTTTATTTATGCATAATGCTAATGTTGACAAACTGTCAGAGTAGGTTTCTGGCAAGTAAATAGTAAAAATTAAGTATAATGAGCATTATCATAATCATCATTTATCTGAGATACTGGTAAATTTGCTTGACTGTTTCTAAATACATTTGTAAAGGACCATCAATTCCACTACACATCACCGTAAGTATGGAATTTTGGAAATAATTTTTAAACCACACACAATCAGAAAATTCGTGTTTTAACTTGTGGGTTTTTTTGAATTTATGATTTTAATATATTTTTGCAGAGTCCTTGCTTTTATAAGTGCATGTAGTTTTTTCATTACAATATTATATTTAAACTCTAATTAGGTTACTCAGAAAATAGTCTCCCTTCATTGTTTTTACATTTCATTTCAAGAAAATAGCATCTTTGTTAACAAATAGAGAACCTGGAGTAGTGTCATGTATTTTATTTATTTGAAAGACAGTTACAGAGAGAGGTAGAGGCAGAGAGAGAGGTCTTTCATCCGCCGGCTCCCCAGATGGTTACAACAGCTGGAGCTGTGCCAGTCCGAAGTCAGGAGCTTCTTCCGGGTCTCCCACGTGGGTGCAGGGGCCCAAAGACTTTGGCCATCTTGTGTGCTTTCCCAGCCCATAACAGAGAGCTGGATTGGAAGAGGAGAAGCCGGGACTAGAACCAGCGCCCATGTGGGATGCCGGCTCCCCAGGCCAGGGCTTTAACCTGCTGCACCACAGTGCTGGGCCCTGTCATGTATTTTAAATGCTATATTCTGTATTCATGCAGAGGGAATCACCAAAGTTATGGTACAATCAAAAATGTGAGGGTACCATATTATGTCAGAAAGCAAGAGGAAAAGAATTGGGAGTTGAGGGGTTATTGTTAATTTTTCTAAAAAGGTGACATTGGAAAGGAAAAGACCCTTTCTTCATGAGAATTGTTTATGCATATGGAATTAAAGTTTGATTCATTCTCTGGGCAAGTGTTTATAGTCAAAGGTATTGACTTTTGAAATACTAATACTCTTATTTTAGGAGTCAGGCATGAGGTGACCAAGTATCTCTAAATTTTATGATTGAGAAAGATTTGTGTACATGACTGCCAAAGAAAGTATGTTTGTGAAGGAACTTCACAATTGACCAAGGATCAAGCTTGAAAAATAAGAGAATTATATATGGTTTTGTGCTTTATTTATATTATAGGCAGCTTTTATTTAGAAGAGGATTTATTGGAGCATTAGTTGATGGTACGTTAAAGAATTCTTATCCAAAGAATTGTTATATGTAGAGATCTATAGGATAATCAGTTTTTTAAAAGATTTATTTGTTTAAAACCAAATGAAATAGAGGGGGAGATAGAACAGGATCTTCCATCCACTGTTTCACTCCCCAAATACTCACAACAGTCAGTTCTGGGACAACCTGAGACAGGAGCTCTGTTTTATTCTCCCACAAAGGTGGCAGGAACCACAATGCTTAGGTCATCATCTGCCGTTTCTCCAGGCAGATTAACACAGAGCTGGATCAGAAACGGAGCAGTGGGGCTCAAACCAATGTTCCAATATGAGATACCACTGTTGTAATAGTGGTTTCACCTGCTGTTCCACAATGCCAGCCCCTAACCAGTATTATATAAAATTGGAGATTGGTCTAAAATTACAATCAGATGATTCTTAGGAAGACATACAAGAAGAATGATAGCTCATGGCAATATTCAGCTTTAAAATGCATTCACCCAGACCCCAAAAAAACAGATATTTTTGCACAATGGAAAATGTTAAATTCTTCAAGCAAACAGAAAGTAACCCCAGACCAGAATCCAAAAATATATAAAAGGAATTTACCTGGAAAATGTAAATAAAGTAAAATACATTTTTAGCTTTAAAAATATTTGAAAGATAATTGAACCAGCATTGCATTCCTAGACTAAACCTCATTTTGGCATGGTACAAAATTCTTTCTATATGTTTGAAATTGCATCCTTGAGAATTTTGGCTTCTAGGTTCAAGAAGATAATGTTCTGTAATTTCCTTTATTATATCTCTTTATTTAAGGTCAATATTGATATAGGGCTAACCT